CAAACACACGTGAATTTGCAGAAATACGCAGGAGTAAGCCCTCAAACAATTTCCGAGCATTTAAATCAATTGAGGAAAACAAGCCGACAAGGGAAATGGGTTCCTCATCTTCTCAGCAATGCCAAAAAGCTACTTCGTGTCACTATGGCTGGTAGTTCTTCTTCGTTTGGCAAAAAATACTGAGTTTTACGATGAAATCCTTTACTTGCGATGAAAAATGGATTCCATATGATACCTCCTACACGAAAACGGAAATGGCTAAAAACCTGGTGAGGTGCCAATACCAACACTAAAACCCCGACGTCCAAAGCAAGAAAGTAATGCTTACTGTCTGGTGGAATTCCTAAGGCATTGTTTATTTTGAGCTGCTTAAACCTGGACAAACAATCACGGGTGCAAAACGTATGCACAACAACTGGGAACGAGTGAACAATGTATTGCTACAAAAAGGCCTTGATCCCTCAAACATAAAGTTGATTCAACGATAACGCCTGTCCAAACGTTGCAAAGATTGTTCAGGAAAACTCGAGAAGCAGCTGGGCTGGGAAACCCCTCCCGCATCCGCTATATTCTCCGGATATTTCTCCTTCGGATTACCATTTATTTCGTTCCAATGTGAAAACCACTTAGCTGGAAACAAGTTCAAAGAAGCGCTTCAAGAGGTCGAAAAATGGATAGCCGACTTTTCGCCTGAAAACAAGCCACTTTTTTACGTGGAGGGAATTGATTCTTTGCATGGAAGATGGAAACAAATATTGTTAACAAAAGAGGATATATGGTCGATTGAGCTGTTAAACTCGTTGGTTTTAAAATAAAGAGTTGTTATCTTAAAAACGTGCATTTATAACTCGACGACCCTTGATATATATATTTTATGTATTAAGTGTATGTATGTTTAATTCAGGGACCCGACGGCGGTTTCAAGGTGAAACTCTCGGTATGAGGGCGAGGAGGATTTGAGTGAGGCAGGAGGAATGACGGAAGATGAGCACTCAACCAGCACATGGGTGTTTAGAATTGTAAGGAAAATAGATCAATATTGTTAGTTTATACTAAATAATCAATTTGATAGTAAATTAGCATAAAAGAAGTCAAAAATTGAATAAATTGAAAGATCTAAGCAACAAAAGTTGAGTCAAGCTTCTTTGCTGCTCATTTCTGGGTTTTCAGAGAGGACCTGCTTTCTTAGGAAATATAAAATTAAAAAGAATGAAAAATACAAAAGTATATCGGATTTTTACAGTCACAGCGGTTCTGGAGGACACGGAATCGGTTTTTTCGGATTTCTTCGCAAATCCCAGGAATTAAAGCGCATCAAACCGGCGTCTGTCGGGGAAAAAGAAAACCGATATCGGGTGAGAATTTGGTCGATAAGGTATATGAATTAAATGATTTAAATTTATATATTGATAGCACTGAAATGCAACATCTTCTAGGCTCTATAAACTGGCTGCCAAGGAGCTGGTGGATCCCGAGCATGAGTGCCGATAGTTGACAAATTCGAGACTCTTGGATCAACGTGAGCTTAGGTAAAAGGCTCGAAAAAAGCTTTAAAAAGTCTTAAAAAAATGCAAGTAGTAGGGAAACTTGGATAGGTTTATGCTTCTATTATTTAATAAATAAATTCTTTTTAGATGTTTCGATTAGAGGTGGAAGCGATGGAGAAAGCTGGTGACATCGAGAAAGGAAAAAGTGAGCTCGAGACATTTCATTCAATGTACTTTGTACTAATATAAAAACATCCTTTCTGAAAATTTTCCCTTTTCTCGTTAATCCCCATGAATGATTGGAGCAAAATTGGAGAATTTGAAGTGCGGTAGAAAGGCTGTGTTTGCTCTATGAACACTTCAGTCTAGAGATGTGAAATTCCACCTTTTCTCAAGCTGTTTCTAGCCTGATTGTCCTGTAATTTTGGCTGTAGACTTGCTGATTGCTTAGAGATCTTTAGAGATAGAGATCGTTAGAGATAGAGATCTTAAGAGATAGAGATCTTTAGAGATAGAGATCTTTAGAGGATAGAGATAGAGATCTTTAGAGAGGGTAGAGATCTTTAGAGATAGAGAGTAGAGATCTTTAGAGATAGAGATAGAGATCTTTAGAGATAGAGATAAATCTTTATAGATATAGACCTTTATAGATATAGATCTCTAAGATAAATAGAGACTTTAGAGATAGAGATAGAGAATCTCTTAATAATAATCTTTTGGTAGAGATCTTTAGAGATAGAGATCTTTCTTGACAAAATTTGGCAACAAGAAAAGAGCTAAGAAAGTTAAGAGCTAAGGAAATGAGCGAAGAAAACGAGCTAAGAAAACGAATCATTCAACCCGTTTGAAACTGGAAGAACTGGTGAAACTAGAATGGAAGTTGTCTAGTAAACTTAAAAACAAGCTTTTTCCCTTTATTCGAAACTTTTAGGTGAGTAAACTGTTCTCAAACATCTCCTCTCTGCACACTTTCCACAACACTCATCTCCTGCCGCAGTTGATGGACGCAAATCGATCGTGGAATAATGCGAGAAGGTGGGGAGAATGATTTCAAAAGTATTTCAAAATACAGAGTAGTGTGGCTTATTTCTTTTAACTGAATAGCTTGAAAGCATGGTTAATTTCAATGTTTTAATGATGGAAATTTTAATTTATAAGAATTATTTCAGAATCTCGCATGTGATGAAAAAGTTGGCACCTTTTTTGAAGATGTATTCGGAATACACAAATAATTACAATGATTCTGTGAAAGTTTCCCGAAGAATTGCGAGGGAAAAACAAGAAATTCGCTGATTTGGTCGCTAAATTGGAAAGGTTTGTGGAAATTAGATGCTTGGAAAAGTTAGAACGCTTCGTGTTTCCATTAGAAACCTTATGTTTCCCTTTTTTTCCCTTTTTTTCCTTTTTTCCTTTTAAAAAGCTTTTTAGTTACCCGAATGCGACAATTTGCCCCTTTCATCGCATTTGATTTGTCCAGTGCAACGAGTGATGCGCTATCAACTATTGTTACAAGTTCGTTTTGTGAAAAAACAAAATAAGTTCAGATAGCTTAGATAGAAAAAAACAAAATAAGCTTTAGATTTAGCAAAATATAGCAATTGGTTATAGCAAATTTTAAGGAATACAAGAAACATTTGAACAAAAGTGATGTCGATTTTGCGGACACCGACGAAGCGTTGGGATTGGTGTTGAAAGCGGCCGAGCATGCGAATGAGACAATGAGGAAATTGGTGGGTACGCTTGGCAACTATCTACCCTACCCTATAGCAGCTACAGTATTCACTTCGCCACGTAGAATAGACGATTCATAAATACGGTTACGGTAGGGTATGCTTTAGAACAAAAGATCAGAGAGTTTCGATCTTGAATTCAAGGCAGCTTTGAGTTTTTTTTTTTTTGAAGAAAATTCGTGTAAAAACTGTGGGTACCATTTTTTTATTTGAAGAAATTTCTTAATTATTTCAGGAACGTTATCGAAAAGTGATCGAGATGCAAGAGCTGCTGGGAAATTCGCTTCCATTGGTGTCCGTTGGAGGGAATTCATTGAGATGGGTCCAATACAAAAGATCAACTCGGGTACGCATAAACCGGAGGAAAGGTGAGAAAAGTTTTTGGTAAACTTTTCAAAAAAAACCTTTTGGGTATCTTTTCTTGTTCAACGATTTGGTTCTATTGGGTGTGAAGGGAATCGTAGTAAATATCGAGTGAGAGCACGATTTGAGGCACTTCATACAAGGGTTTGTTTGGAAGATCGTGTACTTTGCGCTCAATCCTTCCTGGATTGAAACCCATCCTTTCTGGCGCATTAAAACAGCCATTTATCTCGGCTTTCGAAGAATTCAGTGCGCCAGAAAGTGGTTTGTTTCTAGCAGAAAGAAGATTTAGAGAAATTTTCAAAGAAAACTCTATCAATGAACTTTTCAGATCTGTGAAGGGGACAATCTCGAACGGGAGCACTCGTTTTATTTGCGAGGTAGCTACGGAGAGTGAACCGCAGAGGTAAAAGTTTAGAAGTGGAGTTAGAATTGGATGATTCTAATCAAATTCTAATGCTAAAGTGTTTGCAGATGTGTTGAACTGTTCGCTGACAGTCGAGACGTCAAAGAGAAATGGATGCGTAAACTGCAAGAAGTGATCACAAAATCTCGAGACAATTCGGCGTCTTTCAGCAAACATGGAAGCAAGGTCAGATCCACAAAAGGAATTTTTCTTTCTAGGACTTGAACCCATTCTATAAGTTATGGATTAGCTAATAGATAAGCTAATGGATAAGGTGATGGATAAGCTGATGGATGCTAATGGATAGCTAATGGATAAGGTATGATATGGTGATGGTAGGGTACGGATGCTAATGGATAAGGTGTGGATAAGTGTGGGTAAGCTTGGTGGTGTGGATAAGGTGATGGATAAGCTATGGATAAGCTAATGGATAAGGTGATGGATGAGCTGAGGGATAAGTTAATGGATAAGCTAATGGATAAGCTAATGGAAAATCTGAGTTGACGATACTATATTATTGGTTTGAAATTTCAGCGAAGTTCAATCTCGGAAACAAAATCGAATAACTCAAAGTACTGTGCCGAGTGTGATGCCGAGTTGGGATTCATGAAAAGGGTAAGAGATTCGAGATTTTACAATAGCTGAATATGGCAAAATTGCAAAATAACAGTAACTTCACTAATCGTTGATTCAAAACAAACTTACTTGTTCGCTAAAAGCAAGAGAAGCAAAAAACAGAGTTTATGGTAACACGCCAACCATTTATCTCTTCAAATCTCTCTTCTTATCCATCCAAATTTTAGCTTTTCAAATCGAAATGCTCAAAATGCAATCGGAAACTCTGCGACAAGTGCCTCAGGCGATACAAGAGTGACGGGAAAAAGGGGAAAATCTGTGAAGCTTGTGTAAAGAATACCTTGGTGAGTTGAGAAAATAGTAGAAAATGGGCTAATTCTAGAATAATATTCAGTTCTTTTTATTCAGAATTCGGATACGCTTCGAAACGCGGCGGCGATGATGCGCGGTGATGTGCTTGATAAGCCGCCAAAGGGTGACGGAGTTTTGCATGGATCGGAAGTTCGATTCAAGGTAGTTTCAAGGTTTTATATGTAAATTTTCACCTTAAATCTTCTAGGGTTCTCTGGGGAAACCGTTCAAGCGATATTTCGCGGTGAGAAACGATTTCTGTTTGTACTCGTATGAATCAGAAAGGTTAGTGTTGAGGAAGGGAAATAGATAAATGTAAAAGATGGAATTGATTGTGATTGTGATTGTGGATTGTGAAAGGCTTTGAATTCTATTCTATTTGAATTCTAATTCTATTCTATTCGAATTTTCAGCACAATCGAGCCGTCTCAATGCTTCCATTGCCTGGAGCTGAGGTGAAGATGTGCGGCGAGAAGTTGAGCTTTCAGGTCAGAAGAATTGAGAGATTTTTGAAGAAAATATAAGATAATTGATAGATAAATAGATAAATAGATAAATAGATAAATAGATAAATAGATAAAATATAATACAATAGATCGAATATAATGCCAAAATATCCTTTCAGCTTCGAGTGGGAACAAGACGATTGTATACGATCTCTGTCGATGATGAAACAACACAAGCAAAGTGGGGGTTTTCAGTAAGAAAAGCTATTTTTCGATATTTATAAAGGATTTTGCAAGTTTCCAATTGGTCAATGACAAAGCGATGATGCTTTAAAGTTTTTAGTTCAATATTTGTGATAATGAAAACTAATTAATAACATGGTGTAGGAGTCAAAAATTTCATCAACTCCTCTTACAAAATTCATTTTTCAGATGGATGGCCGTTTTGGATTTGGCAGCGAATGCGCAACTCAGCCAATCAGACACCGAATGAGCAAATCTTTTAACAACAATTCCCTAAATTCTTCCCAAAAAAACCTCAAATCCTGACTACGGTTGTAATTTCGCCATTTTCATGTACTTTTTGTCCAATTCTTCACCCAATTCTTCACCCAATTCAGATGAAAACATATCAGTGAAAATCTTTCCGTCTCCTTTTAGGTTTAGCCAATTGGTTAGGGGTTAGATTGTGGGGAAATTGAACCAGAGGGAAGAGTCGGGTTCAGCTTTCGATGTTTGGACAGTTTTTAGGCCAAGTTTAGAGTCAGGTTTGTAGTAAGCAAAGCTAGAGTTGGCTTAGTCCATAAAAAACTATCAGAAATCGCTAAAAATCTGACCCTGGCCTTAGCCTCGCCTAGCTTACAGCCCGAGGATCCCAGTAGTAGACCAGGGTCAAGGCCAGACCATGAAAAATTGGCACCTTATCCCTGAAGAATTTAACTAGATACAGATATAGATATAGTACTCCAACTGGAGGTAAAAATCCGGTTACAGTGTTGTTTCAAGTCGATCAAGTCGATCAAGTCGATCAAGTCGATCAAGTCGATCAATAGTCGATCAAGTCAAGTCGATCAAGTCGATCAAAATCCATCAAATCAGAGTTAAAAGCTAAATTCCCAGGTCAAGGTATACTTATCGAATAGATTTTCATGTTTTGACCTGACTTACACTCGTTTAAAGACCATGAATTAGTCTTGAGGATCAGCTCAGTCCCAACTCTATCACTGGTTCAATTACCCATCACCATTCTTTCCATCTTTTACCCTATCTTTCCAAATCGTGGAATCTCGTGCTGAAAAAACTCACTTCAAGCAAATATTAAATCCTTTTGTGTACAAATTACGAATTTTTATGTAAATATTGCTTCTCATTTCAATTTCTCGTCCTTTCTCACCAAAAGAATGTGCAATGCCATTTTTTTGCAGCTGTTTGATAAATTTTATCAGTGAACAAAGGAATGTAACGAGAATCTCAAGCAGTAAACAAAAAATTTCAAAAAAAAACCAGCAATGTCGGAGTAATTTGATTGATAAATCAATCAAATCAATCAAATCAATCAAATCAATCAAATCAATCAAATCAATCAATTCTCATCATCATCTTCAATATCATCATCAATCAATCAAATCAATCAATCAAATCAATCAATCAAATCAATCAAATCAATCAAATCAATCAAATCAATCAAATCAATCAAATAAATCAATCAAATCAATCAATCAAATCAATCAATCAAATCAATCAAATCAATCAAATCAATCAATCAAATCAATCAATCAAATCAATCAAATCAATCAAATCAATCAAATCAATCAAATCAATCAAATCAATCAAATCAATCAAATCAATCAACCATCAATCAAATCATCAATCAATCAATCAATCAAATCAATCAATCAATCAATCAATCAAATCAATCAATCAAATCAATCAATCAAATCAATCAATCAAATCAATCAATCAAATCAATCAATCAAATCAATCAATCAAATCAATCAATCAATCAATCAATCTCAATCAATCTCAATCAATCAAATCTCAATCAAATCAATCAAATCAATCAAATCAATCAATCAAATCAATCAAATCAATCAAATCAATCAAATCAATCAAATAAATCAAATCAAATTAAAAATTTTGAAATCAACTTAATCGAACGTAACATATAAATGATGAGGTTTTCAATGATTTTCATTTTTTCTCCTTTCCATTAAATGAATATGAAATGTGTAAATTTTATCAATTAAACACGTTAATTTTATTAATCTATAGCAAAAATATTATCAAATTATATAATCATGAAGAACATCATCAAGAACAGAGTTTTGATTGTAATAAAAGAAAAAGAAATGTGGAAAAATAAAAGAATCCAAGAAATGACATCATAACCATAAATCTACTTACCTAGCATTTCAATTTTTATTTCAATTTTTATTTCGATTTTTATCTATCATCTATTTGTGACTCTAGCCGACATAATTTTGTCTGTCTGTAAACATCGTAAATTTGCATTTAACTGTCAAACAGTTAACAGTGAAGTGAACGGTGAAGTGAACAGTGAAGTGAACAGTTCAAAACGCAACATTAGCAAAAGCTTTTCTTGATATCAAGCATATTAATGGGGGAAACAACACTACTGCATGGGCAATTCATCTGCCGATCATTTAATATAGCATCAATAAAGAAAACACTAATACATACAGTACTGGACAATGAAATATCCATATTTGAAAAACGATCGTCACTTTCGCGCGTCTGTAACTCCCTTGTCTTTGAGTTTAAACTATTAGTGTTATACATTTTCTGAAAGCTCTTTTCAAGGGCTACACAATGGTAATATTAATATTTAGAAATACGGTAAAGACAAGGGAGTTATAGACGCGCGAAAGTGACGATCTTTTTTCAAATATGGATATTTCATTGTCCAGTAGTGTAAATGATGAGATTTTCAATGATTTTCATTTTTTGTCCTTTCCATTAAATGAAAATGAAATGTGTCAATTTTATCAATTAAACACATTAATTTTATTAATCTATAGCAAAAATATTATCAAATTATATAATTAAGATAAGGCAAAGCTTTCAAAAAATATAAATATTTGGTAGTTTTAGCAAAAGAAGACACGTATTTTAAGACCCGAAAAGCAAAAAAAAAAAAAGGGGGAAAGACTAGGAAATTTGCATTTAATTTAAAATAAATGTAATGTTTTTTATATATGATAGCATAGAATTAGAATTAGAATTATAATTATAAAGTGTACGGTGGTGGCGGGTCTTCGGCTCTTGTGAGCACTGTTTCCGTGTATGGGGGAGGGGCTCGTTGCACGTGAATCTGCAAGAAAATCGATTGTAACTAGGCGTTGTAACTTTGTGCTTAGACAAACAGATAAACACATCCCTTCTAGTGCACTGAAGCGTTTATTTTCTTACAATGCTAGATTGTTTCTGTAAAAAGTGAGCTGTAGAAAGGCTTTCAGCTTTCAGCTCGACTTTCAGCTTTCCTTCTTGACGTACCTTGTGCTTAAAAGTAAACGCATCACTTCTGGTGCTTAAAAGTAAACGCATCGCTTCTGGTGTACTTAATTCCGTATTTTCTTGGAGAAATGAGTGATTTTCTACTTAAAAATGAAAATATGCCTAAAAAGGTACGAAAATATGCCCAGCACAAAATCTATTAAACTAGAGTTAAAGAGTTAAAAGTTAACGACATTTCCTCAAACTAAAGTAAGCCAAAATCAAATTAGATATATGATTAATAAAGTAAAATTAGAACTAAAGAATTTCCATCATCACACCTTGAAATCAAAAGCTTGACTCTCGATCGAGTTTCCTCTACGTCGATCTCTTCGCGGACAGCCACCGGTTCTAAAACATTCTTGAGTCTTATAAAGAATACATTTATTTACACGAATAACATAGTACAAATAATACATACCGTAAATACTGTAAGCGTACCCCACCCCCATAATGACGGTGCGGAGTGTTGTGTAGTCTAGCTTTGAACGCGTTTTTCTCGACACTGGTTGATGCTACAATGCGCGTTTAGGTATCAAAAAATAGCTGAAATTCAGGGCTATTTTTTGATACCAAAGACGCATTTTTTGAAAGTACGGGTGCTTTGAAAAAAATGAAATACTAAAAAACTTACGACTTACGACTGCGACTACGCGACTGTACGAGGGCGGTGGGGTACTATTACAGTATTTACGGTAAGCACAACCCTTAAGCCTAAATATAGAAAAGAAAAATCCATATATATCTAGAAAAAAACCAATAATCTAGCCAGCGGGATTGAACCCGTTGGTTAGATTTTTGGCTCTCCACTAAGATACAGAGCTTTTAGCCAGTGCCGACTGGCTAAAAGCTCTGTATCTTAGTCGCATGGCAACCAATGGCATCTTGTGATAATAACTAAACACACAATTTAAGGACTATTTTGTTTGCGGAGATATCTAGACCATTTCAAAGTGACTATCAGCCAATTTTTGTAAATGTTGCTCGTCTGGATTACTGGCGATAGATAATAAATACTTGTATTATTATAAAATAGTGAAAACTCACTGAAAAAACAATCGCAATCCACAGAATACCCCGGACATGAGAAGGATGATTGAGATGAGAAGGACAGCTTGCGGTAGATACGGAATCGTTTCCGACCAAGCTGAAAGCATGAATAAGAATTGGAGATTCTTGAATTTTCGTTAATTTTACAGGATATTGTTTGGTCTCCCCGCGCACAAGTCTTTATTGAACGCTTGGAGAAAATTCAGAGGAGGTTCACAAAAGTCGTTTTATGGAAAATTGACTATTCTAAATATTCTAGCTTTACTTATGAGGAGAGACTTGCTTTTTTTGAACTAAAAACTTTACAGCATCGTCGCTTTGTCATTGATTTAGTCGAAACTTTCAAAATCCTCCGTTGTAAACAGATTAGCCCTTTGTTTATAGACTTTTTCAAATTTAAAGCGCGGTCAGGGCCCAGAAGTGGCTCATTCCTTTTGCAAATTCCCTTTGCTTCCAATGCCTCTTTATCAAATTCATTTCCCGTTAGAGCCGCTAGATTATGGAACTTGCTCCCAAACGACATACGTGAAATTCAGTCGCTTTTCATATTCAAGAAACGTATCGATGCTTTAGATCTAGTGGCTCTTTGCCGTAAGTAATTGGCTTATTGATTTCAGTATGTATTGTATGATTAAGTATCACTGTGCATTTCTCTATGATTTCTTTCACTTTATCGTTTGAATAAAGTACTATTATTATAATAAATAAACTTGGATTGATTCAATCAATCGGGTCCTTTTGTAGACATGGGAAACTGTGGGAAAAACAAAAAACGTGGCCGGTGCCAGGACTCGAATCGGCCACCTCTTGCGACCCCAGCCGCTTACCAGGCCAACGCTCTACCCGACTAGACCGGTCTAGTCGGCAATGGGGAATTCCTTGTCCCATTGCCAGGGAATTCCTTAATCAATGCATCAATTTCCTCTT